CGCTGATTTATTGGCGTCAAATGTTCGTTCCGTTTACATTCTTACGGTTTTGTGCACATTCGAATGCTCGATTGATTTCATGACTGATATTATGAACTGAAAATTTATTTCAATGAGCTAATTTTATAACCACATAGCGTTATCTCTACAGGGAATAACACCCTAACATCAATATTCGCAAGTGTCAATTTTATCACTTCTAATATTCCTTGATTTATGCAGGTGGGAAGCGGATTTCCGATGCCAGGCAAAGACTTCAGTCAGTATTCAGATGCAAAGGAGAGAGAGCGCTATTCGAATCATCCATGGAATCTGAATGTGATGCCTGTTTTGAGGGAGTCCGTACTCAGTCATATTGATACGGGAATATCTGGTGAAATTTTCTGCGTTTCTTTCTTATCGCACCAAATCCGTCTGTTCCTTTGAGCTGGATGACGTATTAACAATTGAAATCAAACATTAGTAACGAAATCAAAATCAACTTACGATATTTGCTAGAAATCTCTTCTAGTGAACTTATCCGAAGTAAAGTGGTTGAGGAAAGGAGTGCGCTGAACGATGTTGTTACCAAAGTTTTGCAACGAAATCTCTGGCTGATTGGCCATGCACCGTGGGCAATAGATAGCGAGTCGAGTAGAAGCGTAGTCGAATGAACACTTACGAAGTCGGATGAGATCAGTGCGACGAAATTTTTGATGAACCTGGATGACGATTTTGTTATCCAGGTTCATCAAATCGCTGAAATATTCCGGAAATTATGAAGGAGATGTAGGAAAGATATTATGTTGGTGTTCTCGTAATGTGACTAACACTTGACAGTTTGGTTGATGGAAGTGAACAGTGGAAGGTTCAGCTGTTTCGGAGCACTCCTCTGACAAACTGAGTGTATAGTTTCAGAAATGAAAATTAATGAAACCTTCAGGTATGATGGTACCATGGGTGTATGTTGGCATGTGCTTCAGTGCGTTCTGTTGGCATACTGAAGACCACTGGACATATAGTGTCAATTATATGCATCGGTTCGTAATATACTCGTCAATAACCTTTCTAGTAATAGTAATCGTCGTTGAATAGACTTCTGAACATATCAGATAAATTGATTTTTCATTAACTTTAATCATATTGAACATTATTGTATCCTTATTAGACTCTTTTGAAGTTCATAATTCTTATGACATGGTTATCTCGATGTGATATTTGATTGTACGTGAATGTGGAATACCGGTTTCATAATTTTAAAAAAAATTTTTCAACACACTCATGTGAGGGATAATTTTTTAAAGGGGTGAACGTAAAATTTGGTATGGAGTGTCTGGACTGGACGGGCAACAATTCGATGATGTTGTCAAAACTTTAGTACCTGATCTTTTTGAGAAACAACCTGATCTATTGCATCATATGACAACAACTATTAACCCAGCTCTGCTCATTCAAAAGGTTTGTTCTATCATTCATCGCTTGCGTTCCGTAGTTAAGCGGTCTTTTTTTGTAATTTCTTGATTTTGTTCAGTTTTCATATGTTTCATCCGTGATCGTGTCGTACTTATTTGAATGATAACAACCTGATCTATTGCATCATATGACAACATCATAATCGCTAGATCGTTGAATATGAATACGTTNTTGAATGATAACAACCTGATCTATTGCATCATATGACAACATCATAATCGCTAGATCGTTGAATATGAATGCGTTTGATGTGTTTAAGTAATACATTATTTGTTTTGTTTCTTTAATTTTATGATTACACCAATCGATCTGAGATCTAGCGATTATGATGCTACTAGTGATTTCGTTGTGAGGAAATAATTCATGTTGTTGAAGGGCGTGAAAGTGTACAGTGTCCATCAAGAACCTGGTGAATTCGTGATAACATTTCCGCGTGCTTATCACGCTGGCTACAATGAGGGCTTGAATGTTGCTGAAGCAGTCAACTTTGCACCAGCCGATTGGGTTAGTTTGATGTTTTGCGTGTTAATCGTAAATTGTTCGGTTGGTTTCGTTCAAAAATTGCCATCTTCCTTGTCAGAAGGTAATAAACTACTGTAACGATAAACGTGCCATATCGTTATTGTGTTTTTCAAAAAATGTCCCACCTCAGTTCATACAAATGGTCGTTTTTAGAATAAANCCATATCGTTATTGTGTTTTTCAAAAAATGTCCCACCTCAGTTCATACAAATGGTCGTTTTTAGAATAAAATTTGGTAATCAATTTTTTGAGATCGCACTTTATCCCTTGTTGAATGTGCTCTTGAAAGAGCGTTTTGTTCAGAGCGTTTTGCTTTACAGAGCGTTTTGTTCAGAGTTTCAACGATTCATTTACGCCATTGCTTCTGTCTGAAATATAGTAATGCTGTCTCAGTGATATCTAATTGTACCGGAAAGGTGAATTGAATGCGTAATTGAAATGATGCGAAATAATCGTCAAATTTCAGTTGTGTCGAGGTTGGTTGTGTATAGCGGATTATGCACGTGTGAGACGTAACTGCGTCTTCTCATTCGAAGAGTTGATCGTGAGAATGGCAAAGAATGCATCAGCGTTAAGTGTCGTCATGTGTTTGGCTGCATACGAGCAAATGCATAAGATTTGTTCGCGAGAATCAAATCTACGTAAATGCGTTGCTGAAATGGGAGTTGACAAGTTGGTTTTGTGATTTTATATTTGCATTTAATGTCGTCGGCGATATCCTCATTATTTTAATGATCGTATATTCGATTTATGTATTGTTGT